GGACAGTGCGTATATTCAAAATTTAGCCAAAGACTTGTGTGGATTTTTGAAACCAAAGTACGGCTATGCCTTTCAAAGAGAATTTGACAAAGGACCCATATACTATCCGGGGGGGATTATTTCTGGCATTGATCATTCTCAAAAACAAGAAAGAAAAGAAATTACAAATTGGGGAATCATCGGCCGTTCAGACGAACCAGAAAATACCCCAGAAATGTTACGGGATATTTACCCTCTAAACTTTATCAATTCTCATCACCTCAAAGCGCCTTTAAAAGGTAAAACCGTTGAGCAATGGATTACAAAAAATTCAAAGTATGGCACCTTAACCAAAATTGCCTCTGATTTTTACAGCTGGGAAATCCCCGAAAAATCCATTGAGAGCGTCCGGAAGATCTTTAAAAAGCACGATCGCCTCATCTCCTTTTTAGAGATTTAAATCCCGATATAATAGAGCTCCTCCTTTAACTTCTCTCCCACAGGGGGAATTTCCTTTTAAAAGACGTGATGGCGGCACTCTACCGCCCTTGCCTCTGTTTCCTCTTAGGTTTTAGCTCCCCCAGTGTCATCAGTAAGCTCTTCATTTTGTAAAAGACATAAAGACTGACTTGTCTCATATAACATGGTTGGTCTATCTTACTGTACATCAAAAGTTTATATTACAGGACCCACACTTGGGCAACCATACGATTGTAAGCTCGCAGTTTCTTTGATATTTTACGAGCTAAATATTCTGCCAAGAAGCAAGAGAATAAGGGGAATTTAAGTGGGGTTAACTGAAAAGTATATTCAAACTTTCCTAAACTTGTTGAAAGAACGTTTAAAACCCTTAGGAGATCCACCTTCAGCAATCGCACTACGACAATATTGGAAAGATTGTTTAGAAATTAGCGCACCATTAGCCGCCATTATGGGTAGGCAAGAGTTAAAGGATAGTTTGGAAGATGAGGCCTTTGAACACCTTTATCCTAAAGAGACAAAAGAACTCTTAGAAAAATTAGAGCGTTGGAAGAAAGCTCACCCCTTTGCTCCAGAACGGATTCTAGAGATTTTGAAGAAAGGGCTGGAACAGGAAGGCTTGGCGCCAACGATTACAAATCGGGTGAAAGCCCCTTATTCTCTTTGGCGTAAGATGAAGAAAACATCCCTTGCCTTCGAAGACATTCACGACTTACTTGCTTTTCGGATTCTAGTCGATACCATTGACCAATGCTACAAAGTGATGGAGACAGTTCAGAGGTCTTTTGAAGGACCCATTGAGGTTAAAGATTATATTCACGGTCAAAAAGACAACGGTTATCAGTCAATCCATATAATCGTTCAGGATTCCAGGTTTTCCCTCTTTGAAGTGCAAGTGAGGACTCATACAATGCACAAAGAGGCTGAACGAGGATTGGGGGCTCATTGGCGTTACAAACTCTTTGGGGAAAAGTTCTAATGGGAAGACAAGAGATCTGTAGAGATGGGGTGTCAGTAAATTTGTGTAAATAACATATCAAAGTTTTATAAAAACAAGGACTGTAGATATGCAAAAAGCAAAATTAAGGAAGCCAACCATCAAAGATGATTTACTTCAGTCACTGATATTAGAAGTGGACGGTGAGGATCTATTT